AGCGTGAGCAGAGGAAGGAGAAAGAAGGAGAAAAGACAGCTAGTGAAAAACCTAGCAAGTCTGAAAAAAGTGACAAAAAGGAAGCACCTCAAGTGCCACTGCCTCAGGCTGAGCCAGAGACATCCGCCTCCAGCAGCGCTCCTCTGGCTAAGAAGATAACCCAGGATGCTGCTCTTACACCAGCAAGCCAGGAGAGCAGTCAAACTGAGACTGCAGCTAAAGTTCCGGTTCAGCCACCCACTCCTCCAGTCCAGCAGCAGCTACCGGCTGCCCAGCCTGCTGCTCCACAGCTTCCCCCTGCAATACAGCAGCAGCCGCCTGCTCAACCGGCAGCACAGCAGCAGCCACACGTTCAGCAGCCAGCTACTGCAGTGAAGGAAGAAAAGCAGACTGAGAAGGTAGTTAGCAAGGAGGTTGTAGAGAAACCACGCTTAGAAACCAGACCAGTAAAAAGAGAGCCTGGCTTACCACCTAGAACATACTGGAAGGAGGCTAGGGATAGAGACTGGTTCCCAGATCAGGGATACAGAGGCAGAGGTCGTGGGGAGTATTATTCTAGAGGTCGTAGCTACAGGGGTTCTTACGGAGGACGTGGTCGGGGCAGTAGAGGCCATAATAGAGAGTACCCACACTACAGAGATCCTAAGCCTAGATCAGACCACGTGCCTTCAGGGCCTGTTAGGCAAAGAGAAGAGAGTGAAACTCGTAGCGAGAGTTCTGACTTTGAAGTAATCCCAAAACGGCGGCGACAGCACGGTTCAGAGACGGATTCTGACAGCGAAGTTCACGAAAGCGCAAGCGACACGCTGCTTTCGGACAAAGACAGTCTAATCAAAGGCAAGCACCCAAAAAGAGAAGAGAGAGCTGATGGCAAGAAACCTCCAAAGCCCCTGTCATTCAAACCTGAAAACAATATCAGAGTAGACAACAGATCCCTGGAAAAAACATACATAAGAGATGATGAGAACAAACCCAAACCAGGATTTCTTCCTAAAGGAGAGCCTTCTAGACGAGGCAGAGGGGGAATGTATAGACGTGGTGGCAGGGATCCTAGTGGGCGTCCTCCACGTCCATCTACAATAAGGAGACCAGCCTACAGAGACAATCAGTGGAACCCTAGGCAAACAGAGATCATTAAACCAGAAGATGGGGAGCCTCCAAGAAGAAATGAACATTATGGTCCTATACCAGTTGATAAAAGACCTCCAAAATTTGAGAGAAAGTTTGATCCAAATAGAGAGAGGCCACGAAGACAAAGGCCTGCTCGACCTCCAAGGCAAGATAAGCCACCACGCTTTAGGCGCCTAAAAGAAAGAGAGGCCGCATCAAAGATAAATGAGGCAGTGACCACCAGCTCGTCAACAAGTGCCACAGTTAGTAATGCAGTTAATGAGCCCTCCAATACTGCTCTGGATGTGTCGGGAAGTAAGACACCAGACTTGTCCAACCAGAATTCTTCAGACCAGGCAAATGAAGAGTGGGAAACAGCCTCAGAAAGCAGCGACTTCAATGAGAGGCGGGAGAGGGATGAGAAGAAAACAGCAGATGTAGCAGCACAGGTGGCTGCAAAGGCAGGAGAAAATGCTGGAGCTCCAAAAAGGGAAATAGCCAAGAGAAGTTTCTCTAGTCAGCGGCCTGGAATAGACCGTCAAAACCGACGTGGCAACAATGGGCCAGCAAAACCGGGGAGGAACTTCTCAGGGCCTAGGAGTGAAAGGCGGAGTGGTCCTCCACCCAGAAGTGGAAAAAGAGGGTGAGTACCAGCTTCTGTTAGGAAGCACATATGGTCTTAGTCTTCTGTTTTCCTCTTGTGGTTCAAAATCATTAGTAGTTACTTCCGATTTGTAATAATTGATAGAAAAGAGAATAAGACAAACTCATGCACCTGTGGCTGTGTACTTTCTATTTTTTCTGTTTGTATACAGACACTTGGAACATGGAGCTAAGAGCAGAGTATTCTTATATGTATGCACAGTGTTAAAACCTAATTAAATAAAAATTGCAGTGCTGTTTCTGAGTCAAGCTATGTTTCTTGAGATTTGGATGCAAGCTGAAATGTCAATGTGAGTGGTTTTGTAGTTTAGTACATAGGTTGCTGCATTGCATTTGGCTTTTTGTATTCTTAGGTCATCACCTAACATAGACGAGCAAGTTGAGAAATGCTTGCCATTGAGACTAAGTTTTGGTTCTCTGTATGCTAAAATTGATTGAAACTTGATAGTTTTCTAATGTTACTATTTGCCCACTGTTTTGTAGCCACAGCGCACAGTAGTCTGATAAGTGGGAGGCAGGATAAGACATTTCTTCATTGAATGCCTACCCTGTACTCTAGGGCTCTTGTGCTTGTAGGTTGCTGTATTCTAAGTTCAGGTTTTGCCTGGGCTTAAAAACTTGTGATCAATGCTCTAAGCTCTGAGTTAAAACTATTAAGAGGTTCTCTGGCTAGTCAATAAAAGGTGATGTTGAAGCAAAAGTTGGGTATTCCAGTTTCCACAGCAAAGTCAGAATGCTGCAAGTCCGATTCTTATGGCCTCAGATAGCTTTTGGCAAGTGAGCCTGTGAAGCAAGTATATTGTACTTTATTAGCTCATGTTGCATACTGTAAGCTTCTGGTTTGCTTTTTCCATGCAAAGCTTTACTGGAGTTCTGAACTGCATACTTGTTGAGTTTTGGTGTCTCTAACTGCATAGACCAAGCCAGAGTTGATGTTAAAATTATGCTTTTTTTTTTCTGTGATACCTTTTGGCAGCAGGGCATTTGATATGTCCCCAAAACAGCTTTTGCTGTTAAGCTTCTGCTCACTGAGGAACTGAAAGTAAAAGTCTGGAGCCTACTAAGAAGTTGCACAATAGACACTTGTAGCCCTATAATGTGATCTGCATTAGATTTGTTAGCTCCTTCCTGAGTGTTCTTTGTGGCTGGTCATTAATTTTCTCAATTTTTTTTCTAATATAGGCCATTTGAAGAGCAGACAGCAACTGTGCCTGGTGTTGATCCCACCAACAGCAACTCTTTACATCAGGAGGATGGAGGTGTTACTGCTGCAGGACAAAAGAGCACCAAGGATGCAAGTGGCAAAAAGAGAGAAGAACCTAAGGCTGGTCCAAAGAAGCCTAAGGAAAAAGTGGATGCCTTGTCTCAATTTGATCTTAATAATTACGCAAGTATGTATTGATAATATGCTAATGAGAATTTGTAATCCTGCTAGCTTTGCTGCATGTAGAGCTAGATGTTTGAAAACTTACAAAAGAGGAAAGGTAATTTTTTTAAACATCAGAATAATTGTGTACTTGAATATTGCTACCTTTGTCACACCTAATTAACAATGTGTGTGCCTCTAAAAGGTGGCAAATCTCATTGTGTGTTTTCATATAGATAAGAACAAAGTTGTTCTATCACCTAACTCTGTCATTCAGACTATTTTCCACCACATGCTAATAATTTGCTTAACCTTTATAAGCAAAGGCAGTGGATATCACTGATAAGCTTACAGCTAATGTTTGGGAAGGCTGTTCATTATTATGTTTCAGTTCTTATTTCCTGGAGAGTCTGGTACAGGAACCTCCAGTTTTTCACGTCTTAAAGATTAACTCCTTGTCTTCAAACTCAGCAGCAAAGCACTTGGCAAGCAGAAGCCTATCTTTAATCAGGGCCACCATCTGTGTCTGGGGAAATTGCTTCCACTCTAAAGCAGATTTTGGCTTGGTGCGCTGCATCTGAAGCTGTTAAAACAGCAGCATCTATACCTCTCCTTTTTCTATAGGTGTTGTGATCATTGATGATCACCCTGAAGTGACAGTAGTTGAAGACTCCCAATCTAACTTGAATGATGATGGTTTCACAGAAGTGGTGTCCAAGAAGCAACAAAAACGCCTGCAAGATGAAGAGCGCAGAAAGAAGGAAGAACAAACAGTACAGGTACAAGACCAGCGTTTATAGTGGGGAAAGAGCTCCTTGCAGTACTGGGAATGTTGTGAAGTTGCAGAATCTTCCTTCCAAAGAAGCTATAGTTTTGCCTTACAAATATAACTAGATAGTTGTATTAATATTCAGTTGTTCAGAATTAGTAAATGAAATTAATTTTCAGTTAGTCATCTTAGGATTCTGTACGTCCTGATTGGGCACCATCAGGCAGGTGGAACTGGCAAATTGAAAACACCATTTTTCATACTGTCATAAGGATTTATACTATTGCTTGTATATCAGTTGATTCCGAGAGGAAAATGGATGAGAAATCATTGTTCCTGTGGTTAAATAGCCCTAAAAAAATAAACTTCTTTAAGACAGGGTTAATCAGTTTGCTTTTTGCTGCTACACAATGTACAATTGGTTGTCCATACAGACTGTCAGCTGTAAGAATAACATTGGCTTCCACTTACAGGTTTGGACCAAAAAAGGATCAAGCGAAAAAGGCCGAGGTCAGAATTCCAAGCTCCCACCCAGATTTGCCAAAAAGCAGCAGCAACAGGCAGCAGCCGCAGCTGCGCAGCAGGCACAAGCTCAGGCACAGCCTCCGTGTACAACGCAGACTCCAGGTCAGCCACAGGCTTCTGTTCAGTCGCAAAACCAGGCTGCAGGAGGGACAGCCAGCACAGAATACACGGTGTCAGGCAAAGTTCTGCAAAACACCCAGGCTCACAATGGTCTAGGAACTGAATTATGGGAAAACAAGGTGCCTCCTACAGCAGTTCTAAATGACATCTCCAAAAAATGTAAGTGGTTTCTTTTGGATTTGGGGCGGGGGGCAAGCATTGTAGTTAGAGAATGCTGATTGCCAGCTGTCTCTGTTAATGTCTCATTTCTACCTTCAGATGGATTTTGTACAGGGCATAGAGGGCAGCATTCCCAAGTGCAGCATTGTAACCTATGAATATCTCGGAAAAGAGATTTTTTGCAATATGATATTACTTAGTATTTTACATTGTTATGTTCTTCATTCACTATGAATGAGCAGCTGTCACTCCCTTCAGGAATCCGTGTTTTGTCGGGCTTGGCCACGCTTCCAAACATGATGATTGCCCCACTTCAAAGCAGCTAAATAGGTAGCATATTGTTAGCTGCTGAATAGGTTAGCAATTTCTTAATCAAAGCTTATTTAATCAAAACATCTATAATTTAATTCTCTGTCAACTGATAACTTTAGTCAAATGCATTTAGTGACATTGGGGGTTATTTAACTCTCTTTTCTTAATTGTCAGTGGGACCCATTAGCCCACCTCAGCCGCCTTCGGTCAGTGCTTGGAACAAGCCTTTGACATCTTTTGGTTCAGCTACATCTCCAGAGGTAAGAAAGAAGGGAAGAAGAGTAGCTGAATGTGAAGCTTGCCCAAATAATCTCTCATTGAGATTGGGTACAGATTATCCATTTATTCAGGCATGCACATACTTAAACTAGTATGTGTAGAATTCCATGAAGTCAGGAGATAGTACAGAAACACAGGATGCAGGCTAGTGCTTTTATGGTTGCAGTATGGAAAAAGTGTTCTCTTAATAAAATCTCAGCTGTTTACAGATCTGGACATTTTGATATTGCACTTGTCCCTCTCCCCCTTCTCTACCAGTTCATCATCTTGATCTTGTTTACGTATTTCTTCACGGCGTTCTTTTTTTCTTACTCTTGAGCTTGTATAAACAGTAGGAACTTGAGGAGGAGGAAGTGTACGTTCATATTTTGTTTACTCTTGCAAATCTGTTGCAGTCACAAATAATGCTTTTGCTGGCAGAAGGTAAAAGTACCGTTTTAGTGGTTTTCAGCTCAGCATGTTTTGTGCTCTTTTCTGAACCAGTAGCGTTGTACTGATCTAGAAATCTTTTGAAATGTGTTAAAATGTTTACCTTTTATCTAGGGGACAAAGCCTGGGCAAGAAGGTGGAGTCGATCTTGGTATAGAAACTATTCAGTTTGGAGCCCCAGCTTCCAGTGGCAGTGACAATGAAGTTGGCCCTGTACTTTCAGAGAAGTCCACTGACAAGCTACCAGAACCAAAAGAGCAAAGACAGAAACAGCCTCGGGCTGGACCCATCAAAGCACAAAAGGTAAAAGGTCATATCTTCAGTACAAACTTCTAAACTTAAAGAAGTTCAGCCAAAAAGAGGTTACAAATAATGGATTTATATTTCCTAAAACAATCAACAAGTTGGTTCTTGGAGAGAAGATGGGGAATTCAGTTCAAGAAGCAAGTGTAAGTAAACAGCATCGTAGCCCAGCGGAGTTTGTCCATCGGTTCTGTGTTTGGACCAAGGGAAGTAGCTAGAGCAGGGATGGGATTATTGATTTGAGATAGCTTTGTTGGGAGACTATGAATGTGGTAGTGTTTTGGTTTTGTTTTCTAGTTTGGGGGTTTTGGCTTTCTCTTGAGCTTACTTCGCTCAGGCTTTGAGAGCTGTTTTGAAGCAGGCATTCTGTTTCTGCCCTGGTTATATCTCCAGTTTCAGTAGTTCTTCCTGCCGTCATGCCTGCCTTGCCCCCCTCTAAGTGACGCATGGTGCCCTGCTTAGTTTTGTAGCCAGATTACCAAGATGAGTAATACATCAAGTTGCAGGAAAAGTGTTTTGAGGAAAGGGAGCTATGTTAGAGCCACCGATTTGAAGTCTCAAATTCAAATGCACAGATGTCTGGATAATTAATTTTTTTGCAACTAATCTAGGAAGACTGGATAGGTAATCAAACTTATCTCATTTTTTAAAAAAAAGTGTATCACTTGCCCTCCAGAGATTTAGGGGCTCCATTCAATCATCATCATCATCTTGTATTTCCATTGTTAGCACTTAACAAGGAGTGGTATCATCACTTTCTCCCCCTGTCATTTGGATTACACTTAGTGATCTCTCACGTTAATGAAACGTACTTTCCTGTTTTTTCCACCTCCAGTACATACTTATCTGTGCATCACTAGCACTCAGCACCAGCTTCTTACTCCCAGAAAGAGATTGTTATAGCAGATAAACTTGGCCGATGACTTATAGAACCAGCTGTTTCAGTCCCTCTTGATGTCTGAGATTTGGCAGCAGTCCTGATGTAATTAAAGCCCTTTTGTCTTTGTAGAAGACCGGTTGTTCTTTGTGTTGGTTGTGTTTGGGTTTTTTTTCCAAAAAAAGCTGATATCTGAAAGTGCAGTCACACATAGAATGAAATTAACTTCTGCTACATGAGGCAGTCAGTGGGTATGCTGCAGTTCATGGTTTTTATTGCAAAATACAAAACCCATACAGCAGAGAAATATCCAGTAGTTAATACTGCTGGTGAATTATAGTAACCTAGCACATTCAAAACCCATATATCGGATATATTTGCAGCATGCCTAAAACAGCCCCTGTGAAATCACTTAAAGATGCTGAACTCCAAAGTTAAATACATACATATAGAGAGAGTCTACTTTACACTGTAGAAAGTTCCTTTTTTCTGCTTGGTAATAGCTATCAAGACTCCTGTAGATTTTATTGAAAGACAAATGTGTGACTAAATGGTAAATTCATTGGAGATGAACATTTTTGTGTGCTCTTCTGAATGAGAGGGCTGTAATCCTTTAACTGTCTTGATGACAAAAAACCCAACAAACAAACAATTCCTACACACCCACCATCCCCATGGTGATATTGTTTGCTATGAAGCCTAAATACAAACTTACGTTCAGGATTGGAGGTTAGTATTGTTGAACTAATACGGGCCATGTAAGAGGACCATAGTTGAAACAAAGCAATTTACCTTTCCAAGCATGACCTTAAAGTGTCTGGAGGAATTTCTGCCTCTGTAAACTTTTAGAGCAAAAAATATTTGGGGTGAGGTGGGTCTGATGTTCCTGATGGCTGCATTGCAGAGCTCAGGCATCTGCTTCTACTGTTGTTTTCTTCCTTCCCTCTGAAAGCTAGCCTGCTGGCCTCCTGAGGGTACCAAATACCTTTGGGAAACTCCACCCTCCCCAAAGGCGTTGTATTGTAAAGAGTCTTCCTCTACTCCTGAAACAGCTGGTTTGTATTTATAGAGACAATACCAGCAGCTTCTGTCTTTGCACTATCAAAGCTTAAGGAATAGGATTTTAAGGACTGCCTTTAAGGAATTTTTGTGCTGCTCTGTAGTGAAATGGGCTGAGTAGTCTCAGCCAGAAAGGATGTGGCTATTTGAACAGCGGAGCATTCAGGTTCCCTGAAGCCCTTCATTCTGCTTTAATTCAGCTGCACAAAAAGGGACTACTGAATTGCAGCAGTTATTCCAGCCACGGTGCCTGCAATATAAGGCAACACTTGTGCGTAGATGTTTTTATTTTTTCTGGATATCACCTTAGTGCTTAATTCCTAGGGAAAAATGCTGCCAATATCCATACATCAAGATATCTTCAAATGAAGGTAGAGTCTTCTGTTCTAATTTCCTGGGGTCCTGTAAAATCGTGATTCTCTGAAAATTAAAATAACCTGTATGTATACGAAGTCTTGTGGCTTCTATGCTTTTTTGTGCTTTTCTTGTAAGGAGAGTCAAGCTGGCTTTCTTCTGTAGGTTTTAACTAGATCTTATTTTAGTTGAACCCTACCACTTCACACAAAACATTTGTTGCTTGAAAACAGTGGTTTAGATTCCTAATGTTCAAAATTAATGCATTTCATGTACGTTTCACTAACTTAGTCTCAAATGATCTGTCTGTTAGAAAGTGCTTATCCTTTGGGAAAGCTTTGTTAGATTTAAACAAAATTATTTAAAGCATGTTAGAATATTCTTGTGGGACAGGACATGGGGGGGAAGACATAACTGACAAGTTAACACTAACTTAGCTTCCAGACTTGAGTCCGGTAGAAAACAAAGAGTATAAACCTGGTCCTATTGGGAAAGAGCGTTCTTTAAAGAACAGGAAGGTGAAGGATGCCCAACAGGGAGAGCCTGAGGGACAGGAGAAGCCATCTCCCACCTCTGTCAGAAGTCCAGAACCTGTCACTACAAAGGAAAACAAAGCAGCAAGTGAACTGAGCACGGAAATAGGAACGATGATATCTGTGTCTGCTCCAGAGTTTGGAACAAACACAAAGGTAAGAAAAATGTTGACAAATTACTGAGCACTATATGTAAAATACGATTACAATGATGTAATTGACACTTGGTTGCCAGCTGGTGGTAGTTACCTGGACAGCAGAGCCCACTGAATAGCAGATACGAAACATATCTGTGCTGCTTGAATTAAACATTTCTCCAGAAGTGGTACGGAGACATGCTGTTTGTCACACCCCTGTACAGAGATCAGCTTGGAAGGTTTTAAACTTTTTTGCTGCCTTATCAATGTGAAAACTCTGTCCTGACCCTTGCTGTGGAGAGTGGCACTGGAGCCTGGTATAGGCCGATTCTGTAAACTGTCATATATGTGATATATGCAAGATGAGTGCTTGACTTTCAGCAGAGAACTGGAGTGAAGTAATGTGTGTGATTGTTGGTTGAGTGCGTGGATGACCTGAAGCTGTGAATTAAGTGCTGTTCTGTGAAAAAAGGAATCTCTAAACAAGGAATATGCAAAAGCATTGGGTAAGGCTCGTTCAGTTTACCTAAAGGGTCTGTATGTCAGCTCCTATTGGCTTGGATATTGTCAAGGTATCCCTTGAAGAACTCCTTCAGGATGTTGAGGACTCATCATAGTTGTCTGCATGGAACTCCCTTGATGTCTCTATAACTGCTCAACAGTGAGATGGTGGCTTGCTGTTGGGATTCATTGTTCTACAGCTCAGTTCTTAGCTGTGGTGCATTGACAGCACTGGCTGAAAAGCATCCACGGAGGTGCTCTCCTTTTCGCCTAAGGACCTGTGTGGGGACTGCCTTCACTACGGCAGCATTGTGTGTTAAGCAAGAACTATGGTTGGCATCTCTCGAATGTAAAGATACCATGCAGTTTGGGTAGCTACTAGTTAATAGTTACACCTGCCTTGGTAAAGGAAAAATGCTTCTTGTACATTTGTAAAGCAGTTTTATGACTTTAGACTCAAGTTTGTTGCATGCTGTCTCAATCTGCCTTTTCCTAGTCTTAAGCAGAAATTTTCTGATGCCGTTTAGGAAAACCAATCCTCTGCAAAAGTTACATTAATAGTTGAAGAATCTGAAATGCAGATCACGCACAATTTATCTTTGTCACCCACAGTTGGGGAGGGAACGAAAAAAAGACAATTTTGGCAGTTTTTTGCCAAGGTGTCATGCAAGCAGAAGATGCTCTCTCAATGAAATCTTGTTACAGAGCAAGTGTTAAGGAGGATATTTGTGTCTGACATGGTAGCTGCAAACTTCAGTTTTGAGTGGAATAGCAAATACATAAGAAAATTCAGTGCTGGGATTTATCATCCTTCCTGGCAGTTTCCATCTTGTAAGTAGATATGAATGGTTTATGCTGATACAAGAAACAGATAAAGTGCCCTTCTTGTATGCAGAATCAGAAGTGTAGAGCCGTAAACACCAGCTTGCTCAAGTATTTGGTAAGAAGGCTGTTTGTATGTGTGTCGCGTGCTTTCTCGCTGTCTGTCAAACTCCTGTGACCAGAGCTCGAGATAAAAGAAGGAGATGCTTCTTCTAAGCCACCTACAGAATAGGAGACACATCTTTGTTGATTACTCCAGGCTAACTCGATATTGAGTAGCTCTACTAAAATCAGCATAATTTCCTCTCTACGATTGTATTTTTAAAGCATGAGATCTTCAAAAGGGAGGTCTGGATTTTGTGCCTCTCTGGCCTTAGTTAAACATGGGTTGCCAAGGTTCTTTGAACTACCACAGTATTAAAGCGCCAAGCTTCTGTCTTCTGGAGGGAAGACCAGAGTGAAAGGAAACTTTACAGTTTGTGCTGGATATGAACATTCCCAATAATTTCCTCATTAAGTGGTTGCTAATAGAAGGATTTCATAAAAGGCCTAAATATTCCTGTCTCAACAGTTCTGGGTTTGCTTTTGAATTCCTTTGTCATGAGTAATTCCCTGGGCATCAGTAAGTTTTCTAGGAAAGGGGTGGTCATATTTCATATGTTAATTCTATGGAATTTGAACCAACAACCTGCATATTTATTGGAGAAGATAAGCTTCATCTAGATTTTGCAGGAATAAACCAGTCTTGCTACTTTTTAAAGTGGCTTTTAAAATGGCTTCAGATAGTGCTCTGGTCCTGGAGTTCCTATGGTGATTTGTATTGCAACTGTTTTCTCTTGTCTTTGTACTCTTTCCATTGCTCGTTAGTGAGGGGAGAAGTGATGACATCTTTAATCTGTTGTTTGAATGTCAGGTGTTGAAGTTTTAGCAAACCTAAATTATTTCTCTTTTGACACTTTCTTTAACATCTTTAACAACAGAGACTACTGCTCAGCTTCCAGGAAGGCGCACTTTAGTGTATTTGATGATTTAAATGTCTGTAGAAGTCAAGCCAGTTGTCCTCCTTCAGAAGCAGAAGCTTTAAGAGTAGCCCATCCATCCCAAAACAAACATCTTAAGAGCACGTGCATTTAATCATACAAGACTGTTTTACCTTAGAAACTGTATAAATATAAATGAACTCATACTGGTGAGATGTTTAAATTTAGAACATAAGCAGGATGCTTTGAAGCAATTGCAGCTGTTTCTCTTGGGTTTTGCAGTATTTTTGGAGTAAAGGCAACCTGACGGTGTAAGTCTCTGAATTGGGTAAGACACCTTACCCCTTGCCTTTCCCCACCCTACCATGTCTAAAGTTTTGAAGCTTTCAAATCACAGGAACAATCAATACCTGGTTGTGGACATGGCAATGAAATGTTTGCACAGGTAGTTGATAACAGCTGCATTACAGAGATGATGTCTGAAAGGACACAGGCTGTACTTGAAAATAAGTTTTCAGTATCTGACAAGCTCTCTGGTTTGAGTGATTTACATAAATCAGGAACAAATCAAATAGCTAGTTAATCCCATATAGTACCCTGATCCTTTATAGCAAGGTCAGCTCTGAGGTCTGCCTTGTCCTTTTGTTCATAAAGTCACTTCAGGTTTTGCAATCTCTTCTTTTTGGGCAAAGTAGGTAGTTATAAAAAGTTTGCCTGTTCTTTTTCTTCAGGTATAAATAACTTGTAGATAACTCCAAAAACTTGTATACAGCTTTTTGCTCTTGCTATTATTACTGTTGCTAGTTTATAATAAAGTAATTGGTTGGTTTCTTCAGTAAAACAGTTGTACAGAAGAATCACTTTAACTGAATTACAAAAGCTTATGGTGATAAGCCATATCTAACAGAGATTCCTAGACTTAATGTACCAGTAAATGAAGGATGGTGGTTAATCTACAGTTTATGGAGTGGTGTTCTTATGGCTGAAGCATTGTCTTATCTGCATGTTCAGCATGTAACTCATCCTTGTAGGATGGTTCAGCATTGCACATATACTTCTAAGGGCACCTGAGTTGATATAGTGGTTTGTTTTTAATTCTAGTGAAAAAGTATTTTTGTGCTGTACGTTTCCAAAGTGAGAATGCTAGCAATAGTCTTGATCTGGTTTCTTTTGTAGGGAATTCTAGTGCTGAGACCCTGTAAAATTTGCATCCAAACCTTGAAGGAGTTTTAATAATGTTATATTAAAAACTTCCTCTTTCTTAATGCAGTGAACCATCTTAAAAAACCAAGAAGCCAGTTAACTACTTCCTGAGAAGGACCTTGTGATTAAAGCAGCCTCGTGTGCTTGCCTTGTTCTACCCAAATTAATGTTGCCTATTGGAGTCAAATATAAATCTGCAACTTGCAGTTTGGTAGTTCTGATTGTGGGAAACATCATATATCTCATATTTCAGCAGTTTAACAAGTAAAGGAAATAACTGAATGGAGAAAATAGTTCTCTCTTTCCTTTGTAAACACAAAAATAAGTCAGTGTGCACACTGTGTCCTCTCTCACCCCATTATGGATTAGCTTGTTGTCCTAGTCTTTTACCAAAATGAGCTCATCCTTTTAAGGAAGATTCTTTGTTATTTGCCAGTTAGTATCTTGATGCTTTAGTTACTCTTTCAGGAGACATAGCCATAGGCTTGAGGAGTAAACTGTGTGCACTTTTTTAATAGCTTATCATCATAGTGGTTGGATGCAATTAAACAAGCATTATGTGGTTTGTGCCTTCAGAATCATTACGTGTTGGCAAGTCCAGGCACTCATCTGCTGCTAATTTGTCTTTCAGTTCCTTCTTGGTGATTGGATCTGTAAAAATGGTAGAGCCTTTTCTGGGCTTCAGACATGTAAAACTTTGGAGTTTGCAGTGCTTGCTGGAGAGTGCATCTTGGCTAATTCAGAGTCACACCGTTTATCTAACAAAGTCTCTGGGTCATGTTCTGATAACACCTGTTTGCCTGTCCAGAATACGCTTAGTAGATATCCAGTGACAGGAACTAAAAAACAGTGCTCAGCACGGCTTCACAGAAGTACCAGTGCCTTTTTTGTTCATTGTAGGTCATTCTTTAGAGATCTGGCAGTATTATCAATGAGACGCTTTCATCAGGCAGTTCATACCTACAACTGCAATAGTTATTGGCTACAGCTAGGTCCATGAAAGTGGACCTTTTTCATGGAGCACATTAAAGTCCTCTTAACTGTAACAAATAAGCTTCGAGGAAAGCCCCTGGGCAGACTGAAAACTACAGCCCTTTTCTTCCTTGAAATCACTGTCCAGTGCAGAAATCAGGAGGTAGACTTCACCATCCAGAGAAACTGAGTCTTGTGACTTTCAGAGACAAGACTTAAAGGAAAGAAAATTGTTTTGCAAATTGCAACCATCCTTGTGTGTTCTTTTTAATCTGGAGGGCCTTGCTTGTCATAGGTTTACCCAAGAAATTTCTGTGTTTATTTAAAGCTGCAGAAAGCTTTCAGCTAATACATTTTACTTTTTAAATAGGCTAAAAGTGCCCACAGGTGGCTAAAGCATCTTGGGTGACAAAGGATCATTGGTTACACCACCACAGTTCAATACGTCTAGTGCGCAGGCAGTACATCACTCTGTATATTCTTGCTTTACAGACTGTATTTTGACTTGTCTCCACATGTACATTGTGAGGTCATGAGGCAAACTGTAATCTCCCAAGAATTCTTCTGACCTCAGTAGCAATTCAGCAGCAAGGATTGCTGGACATGCCTTCTAAGAAAAGACTGGTGTGAAATTCTAATCTTCTGTTGCTTGGTGAAGTCCTCCTGTAGAAAGGCTGACATCTGTCCAAGAAATTTAAATCTAATTTAGGTAAGGGAGATATTTTAATGGAATTATTTTTCTTCACAGGAGTCTGTAACAGACTACACTACACCTTCTTCTCATCCTAACACAGTGGCTACTAGCAGTACAAAAATGGAGGAGACTTTGGTGACGAACGTAAGTCTATTGCAGTGATCGTCTTGACTTTGAAGACAAGAAAATATTTTCACACTTCTTTAAAGCACAAAATAGTGCCTTCAGTAAACAAGTCACTAGGGTTTCTTTCATGTTAACTAGCTGCGCATTATCCAGTAATCTTACTCTGAAGGAAAGTTGGTTTGATTAATATCTGTTCTGGAATTCTTCAGGTATTTTCTTGTCTTTTGAACAACCACAATGAGCTAAAGAGCACAGAAAACAGAGAAGATGTTTCTAGGGACAATTCTAAAAAAGGAAAGATAGGCATAATGAGGGAGTGTGCTCTCAGCAGCAGTTGGGACTTGAACCTGGTACCAGTAGCAAAGCTCTGTAGGTGAGTTTGAAGAAAGGCTTTTAGAAACAAAGCAATTTTGAACTGTAGCCTGAAATCACAGCAGCTGCGTGTAAAGGGAACAGCTTAATGGTTTCTGAAAGCAGACAGCAGGCTTTCAGTTGTTCAGTTGCTATGGAGATGAGATGCTTGCAGTCCTCATAAAGCCAATGATCCTGTCTGTGTGAGTGTGGTGTAGTGATTGAGAGGACCAGCTGGGTTGTGACTTATAGCGAAGTCAAGTTTGTCTTGAGTGTGCTGGGATGTCAGGTTGGGAACTTGGATCTTTGTCGTTTTTGTTGTTTGAGGAGCAGAAATAGAATTAGCTCAGAGTTGAGTCACTTGTTGATTGCAGGAGGAAAGAATCATACAGTAGGATCTTAGGTTTTTATGAAGATGTCTTGTGAATTCCATCTAAGAAATGCTTTTCAGCTTACTGCAGCATCCTTTAATGCAGTTTTGAAGCAATACTGGTTGAACTTCCTCTTCTGCTGGATTTTTCTGGTGGTGGTGTGGTTTGTGCCTTTGGTGGTTAGTGTGGAAGACTGAATTGTTTTGTGTTAATGATACTAGTATATGCTCCCCTGTGGTGTGTTGGAGTTGGATTTGCAACACAGGAAATGGGGGCCCCTGGCCACAAAGGATCTGTGCTATCACCTGCTTCAAAGCTTCAGTATCTCTGTCTTTTGGATTAGCCTTATCTCATCCAGTGGAAGTCCATTAGCTGTGCTCTGAATGGAGAAAGAAATGGTCAGAAGTAATAGACTGGCCACTACAGTATTTTTGATACATTTCATTTAAAACTTCTAGGAAATCCATCAGTGTTTTCTTAAGCGAAGATAGCAATAGCATTATGTCAAGTTTATTTCTGTAAGTTTCACATCTTTCAGAAGAGAAGATAACTGAATTCAGTTATTGGATGGCAAATCTGTTTTGGTTTGTTTCATGGTCCTGTGACTTTGGAGGTTTATAGCTTCCTCTTTTCAGAAACTGCATCTCGGAACTCAAGGTCACGAAGCCCCATGTACTGTGTTGCTATAAAAGGGGCCAAACTTGGCTTGGGAAGAATTTTTGCATATCAGTAAACTGAAATGGTACTTTAAAGTAAATCCCAAAGCAGAAAATTGGTATTTGTTTATGCAGAAGACATGGACACTTTAGAACCTTAGTCTTCAGCCTCTTAAAGAGAGATGAGAAGCATCTCAGCACCTGCTGAATGGCCTTTCCCCACCTACCAAATTTTCACCTTATTTTATCAAAATCTCCCTGCCAAATGCTCAAGCCTTGAAGAAATTGTAGCTCACTTAATAAAGCTTGAGCTTTGCTTTTCTGGGGCTTTTGTAGTAGACGTAGTTAGAATGTGATGTGTGTTGCCTGCCTTTCAGGTGCCCCTGCCCCACACCCTTCCCCTCCCTAGGAGGGAGACTCTACAACAGAGCTCCAGCCTAACTCCAGTTTCTCCCGCTACCGTCGACCTCACCCTCAAGGTATGTACCACATCCCTCTAAGGGTCGTTTTCTTGCATGCAGGGGAAAAAGTTAATGGAGAACTTGCTGGTGAACCTTTTTTTTAGAGCCTTCCTTTGTTTCCTCTGCTGAACTGCTTTTGCATATAAACGGATGGCTGAAACACAAGACTCTATCAAAGGATGCATTTAAATTATAAATCTCTAACCCCGTTTTGCATTAACACTTGGCATCTCAACCAATCTTGGCTCCCACTGCCCTGAAAAAAGAAGATCCTAGCATTTTAGCATTGTACCATAGTGTTCATGACAAACCATCAGAATCTGACTGAGGTTTTTTGAGAGTTTAGCTTAAAGTAAGTTGCCTGGTTTGGTATTAAAGGCTGTAAGGAGTTGCTTGGTAAGCCGAGCTTGATTTCTTCTTAGCTGTAAGCTTCTGGTGCAGTGATAATGTGGTTTTGAGTTGAATGGCTAAAGTTCTAAATAATGAAATGTAGGTGGTGTGTTGGTGTCTATGAAGGGCAGCTTGATCAGCTAGTCAGAACGTGTTTTGTTGTGTAATAATTGTTCTGTTGTTTTCTGCTCTCCAGTGTAGAGCAACTGTGTAGAATATTTTGAATGGTGTTTTCCTATTTTGTTGGATTTTGGACTGTGTGCATTGTATAACTCACTAACATAGAGTTGGGCTCTAGCTTTGCTACTGTATCTTTAGAAGTTTTTGTTCTTTGTTTTTGGTGTCCTAGATCAGCTTTGTGATTGTGACTGCAGGTGACTGAACCAGTAGAAATATTGTTGCTGCTTCTAGTATTAAGGAAGAGTGGTGTTTGAACTTAGTTTCTCTAAATTTTTAAAAGAAGAAATGAAACCAGGGATTGGATGCAGAACTAACACTTTGGAGAAACCTGCTTGTCAATGCCAGTGAGACTTGGGTCTCACTGGCATGGTTTGACGTCTGCTTGCTCATATTCTCTACAGATGATATTTATTAATGATCTCTTGTTGAATCTTTGCTTTTCTTTTGTTAACACTTTTATTTCCTGAAAAAAAAGTAACATCACTTTAAAACAATAGACCAGCAAAAATGGGGAGAGGGCTGGAGAGGGACAAGTAATTTAACAAAAATCTGGTTTTCTATTGCATTCTCATGTAATAAGTTACCATAATCTGACTTTCTGGCGCCTGAAAGCATTTTTCTAAAATAGCAGTCTAACTGTTTAGCAGCTGGATATGATTCACATGTAATACAGGTAGGAATGTTACTATAGCATGATGCTGCAAAGAATGTGACACTGCTCAGTGATAGTGTGAACCGCGGTGTTTGTCATTCATCCTGCAGTTTCTTTTTCTGCTGTTCTGGTGCCGGTGATTTGATTGCTTTCTCAGTGGATGATAGATCTTGGATGTGTGGTAACAAAATATGTCGAAGATCCATGTTTTGAGGCTACCTTGAAGAACACTGACCAAAATCTGAATGAAAATGCATTTGGAAGCAGCTTTGTTTCTAATTTCTCTATTCCAGCCACTGGAGCTCTACCTCTTTTTTACAAATGCTGAAGGCAGCAAGCTTGTTTTCAAGCAAGCACTGAGACTATCACTTTCGCAACAGACCTTCTGGTCCAGACAGAGCAGAGCTGCTCTTTGTCATCCTCTTCAATATAATCCTTGCTTCTTTTAAAAGGTACTTTTGGAGCAGCAGAGAGGAAAGCATTTCCTTCCTTCCCTTAAAAGAACAAAATCTCCAGGCTCTGCCTCCATAAAGGAATAACCCTTACATCTCCTCTTTCCTCCGTCCCCTGTCACAGAAAGCTGTCTGTGAGGAAACTCGGCAGGGGAACTCAGCCACAATTGCTCCCACTACTTGGCATCATTCTGCCAGGGTGTAGGTATAAGGTGCTCATACGGGAAGGCTTGTTGAGATCTCTTGTTGTTTCCTTGGAGTGACTTTGCTAAAGACACCTTTACTAAGGCAGACATTCTCTTAAGGACTTAGTTGATAGGGCTATTGGTAGGTGAGGACCTGAGCAAAAGAAAGTCCAAAGCAATCTTGAACTGAGCTGCCTGGCCCTCTTCCATGATAGAGGTTCTATCTAAAATTCCTGTGTAGGCATCTGGTCCAGAATCTGACACCTTTCGACTTTCTTTTTCTGATCCCTTAAACTTTGGCATACTTGAGGATATGCACATTGGTATTTGTTTCCAGTTAAGTTTTTGGATAATACATTATTGCTATGTGAAGGCCCCAATGGGTCAATGGTGAAGAGAAGCCTCAAGCAACCATGATCTCCAACCTGTGCTCTCCTTTTCCCATAACTAAGCGAGCAGTGAAATTACAGCACTTTCCCCAGCCTCACTTAATTTAGAGCCTCTTAGTCCTTCATATCTGGTCTGTAGATGGTGCTGCATAGGCACTCGGAGAGTACCAATCCGTTTTGCATCATTTTCTGGCTTAAGAATTTTGAGATTGTTAAGGAGCTCTGTAAAAGCAAAGCTGTTCAAAAACTTGGGACTCTGTTATATGCCCATTATTGTAAATTGGTAGGGGTGTGGGATGATCTGGGATCTTGGCAGTGGTTAGGTTTGGAAGATGAAATGCGGCATGTAGACTCTAGCTTTTGCTATCAATAGTTTCTCCAGGGCATCGTGAAACTCATTGAATGAAGCTTCTACACCTTCTCTACTCAGACATTCACAGGTGGTACTTCACATTCTCTTAATACTAATGCAGTACAAGACTGTTACCCTGTCTTACCAGAGCCTGTGGTGTTCAGAAAGGAGCCTCTAGTCTTACCTGTACTCCACCTTAAGCAAAATCCTTTCCAGCAGATTAATAATAAATTTTGACGTTTGCCCTGTCTGCAAGAATCAGAACCAATTTGGAGGAAAATGCTGTGGAGGGGAAACTGAGAATGATTGCTGGGGAAGATGTCTCGAAAATAGGTGGCTTACCTCCAAATGATTTAATGTGTAACAAAGTTTCCCTCCTCTCCCTTTACTCTCTTGAGGAATACAGAACTCCTCTTTCCATGTAGGTGTGTATTGGTCACCTGTTACTCACTTACTTGGATATTGCTTTGCTTTTTTTATCACTTCTGAAGCATCTAGACAAATAACCTAAGTCACGTTTGGTCTGTTCAGACTGTGCCTAACTCATGTAAACAGGGTAGGTTGAAAGTATGACTTTCAGAGACTGCGAGCCCCAGTTAGGGCACTCTAGTGATCCAGGCAGTGAGGTCAGGTTTGTTGGTGAATATGTATTTGCCCCTTTACATGTATCATTAAAGACAAGCACCTGGCCTTGAGAAGCTTACAGTCTGCCAGATAAGCAATTTCAGGCTATGGCATCCAGCTCTGCTAGCAAAATCTTTGTTTCAGCTGAGGACAGCTGAAGGCTGTAGAGAAGTCCATGGACTGTGTTTGAGCATTTAAATTAGCGGGTGTAGTCTAAGCATTAATATTTCCTTTTCAATAGTCCCTCAAAAGTGTCTCAGTTCAAAGATTTGGCACTGTGTGTGTAATGTAGCAATAATTAGATTGTGATTGGGTGCAGTAAAACAATAGTTCTTTCCACTTTCGGTGGAAGAGAATTGTGTACAAAATTTAAATTACTTTCATCTTCCTTGCTGTGCAAGACTTAAACTTGTAATTATTATAGAAATAGAGGAGCATGAAGCATTTTTAGCATTAATGTAAAACAGTGTGCACAAGCTGTGTCATCTAGTGATTGCTTCTTGAACAGAACTTGCTTTGGAAATCTAAACTTGACTACTCTCATGTTTACTGAAGTGTGCATTAGATATTTTTGGTGGTCACTAGGAGTGGATGATTTACCAAGAAAGCAAGGGGCTGTTTCATTTAAATGGCCCAAATAAATTGTAAGTAAAGGACTTCATGGAAATATTTAGAGGGGTTTTTACCTTTCTTTTGCTCACCATGTCTTTTGCTCTTCATGTCAAACAAAATCAAGCCAAATTAGTGTGAGTGAATTCTCTTTTGAGCATTGAATGTTAAGATGATGAACTGTGCACGTGTGCAGTTGGAACAGATAAGCTCCAACTTAAGGCTGTATGCTTTTTGCATGAACAGAGTTGCACGATTATGGTGACTTTAAGAGGCTCGCATGAAGCCTGAATTGCCTTTTGAACTAAAAAGAACTATTAAAAGAGGAAGACTGTTTGACTGCTTAAAACTTCCTAATAGATGAGGAAATTTTGTTTTCTTTTAAATAGATGGAGTCTGCACGCAAAGCATGGGAGAATTCCCCAAACATGGGGGAGAAGAGTTCACCAGTGACCTCATCAGCATCTCCCATTGCTGGTGGCAGTGGCAGCAGCAGCAGCAGCAACACTGGGCCAAGCAGTGGTACTTACAGCTCTTTCTCTAGTGCATCAATGCCTCCTATTCCTGTGGCATCGGTTACACCGACAACTTCACTGTCAGGTACCAGATGTCAAGAGTGTAGTAGCCTGTTGTATTGTTCCTTGGTTATGTTTTTCAAGAGATTAGATTCCCTTTGGAATTATGTTTAATGCAAAGCTAACAGAAGTTTTATGCCAGCATGAAATGTCAGATCTGAACAGCAGCTTCCCAAATACCTTTTAATTAACAAGGAGATACTTCACCAGTTTCACTTCAGTCAGCTGAAAAGGATATTAAGAAGACATCTCTCTGCCTATGCTACTTATATGGACTTGAAAGAGGAGGTAAACTTCTCCTGTTGGCTGCCTTATTGGTTTCATTTTGTTCAGCTGAAGGAAGGCAAGCAAGTAGATTTTTGGAGGAGATGGTAGTTCTGATCTCCAGCTAGTTGCAGTCTTTCTTTCATTTGTGCTTTTGCTTTTGGAGTCAAAGCTTTGACAGCTCATACCAAGACCCCTTCACACTAGGCAGAGTAAATGTCCAGCTGCTCTTCAGAAACAGTGCTGGTTTCCTCCTTGGTTCTTTGCAGCAAACAAAAGATGCTATGTCTGATTAAATCTTCACACTTTGGAATATTAGAATGTATGCCCAAATAGCAGCTGCAGTGCTTGAAAAAGACCTTTCTTTGGAGCCCAGCTCTCAACCATGAGAGGCGCAACCACTGTACACTGCAGTATTTTGTTGCATAACTAACCAGGATGTCTACTTCAGTATTTTTATATGCTCCTGTACTTGAGAAGGGAGTTGTATTATGGTTGCAGTGAACTTAACAGAATTGTCATGCCTGTCCATCTTATGTTGATGGAAACAGCTGCATTAGGTTTCAGTGCTCTTAACTGGTTGTGGCTATGCTTGCATAGCTGTCCCAAAACTTTGGGCACTGAAAGGTGAGGCTTTGAAATATCTTTAGCTGTTTTATGATGTATGACTTGCTTCTCTCCTTCTAGGAGCTGGAACATACACAACCTCTTCACTGAGTACGAAGACTGCAAGCACCTCAGACCCTCCTAATATATGTAAAGTGAAGCCACAGCAGTTGCAGACAAGCAGCCTAGCTTCTGCTAGTCACTTTTCCCAGCTGAGCTGCATGCCATCCCTCATTGCCCAGCAACAGCAAAGTCCCCAGGTCTATGTGTCTCAGTCTGCAGCAGGTAATAGTGTTTGTGGCTGAGAAGCCACATGTCTGCTTTTTTGGAGTTCTGAAGCTGGAGAGTTGAATTCAGTTCTGGTTTTATCTGCAGTAAAGACAGAATGATGGAGAGCATTCTGTAAGCAAATATTCACTAATTGTGTCTTACTCTAAATATGCAAGTTTCTATCAGTAAGCATAAAGATAATGTGGTGTTAGTTTGTGGAGGGAAGTAAGGCTGCATCTCTTGATGTACCATATTTCTGTTGCAGAATTGTAAATCACTATTTAAGACCAAGAATGACTTAGTCTTGACTTCTTTCTTAAAGTGCTACAATAGTTAAGAATCGTGGCATTTTTCTTTAAAGAAAACCCTACATATAGTTAACCTAAATTACACGACAGTATAGCATGTTCTTCCCCTTCCTTTACCCAAATGCCTGTTCTGGCCAGAATCTGTTGCTCATCCCCCAAGAATTGCATGGGACTGAAGATGCATATGCAAGACTGATTGATAGATTCTGGGGGTGAATTGGAAAAGATACTAAAGCTGGTTAGGCACCCAGCTCTTCAGTTCTGTTTCTTCTCCCAGTCTGTCAGGTAGCTGTCACGCTGGGAAGTACTGACAATGACAACATCTCTAACTCTTGATGAAAACCTTTCTAGCAGGGAGATGTTTGGAATCGGGTACTAATTGTATTGCTCTTCCTGAGGTACTGCAGCTCAAATCCCAGCATTTTATATGGATACAAGTCATCTATTCAATACGCAACATGCGCGTTTGGCACCACCTTCTCTGGCCCAACAGCAAGGCTTTCAACCGGGGCTTTCTCAGGTATTTGGGGATTTCTTCTTTTCCTTTTTTTTTTTCACCTCCCTGGCCATATTGCCTTTAAAGCTCTACTAATGAGCTAATGGGGGCAGAGGAGAGTGGGACTAAAGACTGCAAAAATGAGGTCGTGCCTGCCCTTGCTATTTCATTCTCGTGCATGCAAGCGGTGTTTGATCTCTACTGTTCCTGAGAATGAAAGCATTTGTCATGAAAGTTGAGAGAATAAGCTTTTACTCACAAATACACTTTATGTAAAAGTACATATTCATGGGAGGTGTTTATGTGGCCATGTTAGTGCCAATCAGCTTTTGTAGTACGAAATTGTATGCAATCTTGTGCGGTTGTTTGGTACACAAATCTAAATGATTCATTCAGTTTCTGCTGGTTATTTGCAAGGAAAAGTGTAAAATTCAATTAGAAAGTAATTTTCTGAATGGGAGCAATACCAGCTCTGCATGCAGCCTTGGGATTTGACATTCTTTGTTTACTTTTTTAATGTTACACAAATCCTGGCACACATTTAACTATAGCTTTTCTACCTGACTTTTGTCCTCGGATATTTAATGGTTTCTTTTTTATGCAGCCTGCTTCAGTTCAGCAGATCCCTATCCCCATCTATGCACCTCTGCAAGGACAGCATCAAGCTCAGCTGAGTTTAGGAGCAGCACCAGCTGTTTCACAAGCCCAAGAGTTGTTCAACTCCTCCTTACAACCTTATAGGTAGGTACTGTATGCAAAAGTCTCTGGTTTTTGAGCAGCAGAATTTATATAACTTGCTTCCCTGCAGACTTGTGTTCTGTGCTCAATAGCTGCCTCATCTTCCTGTCTTCCCCAAAATCTTTCATCTGTTTGTCTGGCTGAGAACTCTGTATGCGGATTGTCTGGCTAGTCTGCATGTGCAGATGTAGTTGTGAAATAGTGGGTTCGAAAATTGTGCATGATATTTGTATCTTTAGGAAACCAGGCTAAAAAGCTGAAAACATCAGTCTTTCATACTAAGAGAACAGAAAAAGAGACGTCTGTCCCTTTAATTCAGTAATTTGTGTTTGTTATTTTCTAATCAAACCAACACTGGAGTCTTGAAACACTTTGAAATCCTAGTTTGAACCCTGTAGGTGGTAGAAACTCAATTTCAGATGCATAGGGAGTTGCAGGGTATGTTTTAGAATAAATGTTTTCTGTTTGCTACAAAAGATAAAAGGAAGACCAGTATCTCTCAAATGGCATTGATAGCCAGGCAAATTTCCAGTGTAAGCCTTTTCAAAGCTTCCTTGCAGTTCCTATCAAAACTGATTCACAGTGATATAATTCTGACAAATTTTGTTAGTTTCACTTTGAGAAAGTTTCTTTGGAAATTTAATTACAGGGTTTTGCATGTGCTGTAGAAAAACCTGCTTGTTGCAATGTAGAAATCTGAAGCCACAGAAGGTTTAATTGACTACATGTGTATCCTGACTTTGTGCTTGGCTGACTTTGGACCAAATATTGCTTGTCCTGCCACAGCTGACAAAAGTTGTTGCAAACAGTTGGCTAGCTGCAGAAACACAGTCAGTCTGGCATGCGGTCCAGATTAAATAAATGCTTCTGGCTGATCTGGTCACGCACAAACCCAGTATTAGTGGAGTTTTGGGTTGTGCTGTTTATAAGAGTATGAATACTTTTCCCACATCTTTAAAGGTGCAGAGGAGGATAAGCTTTGAGATGTACAGGTTACTGGTTTAAAAAAAAAAAGCTTGTGAAAATGTTTTTGGCTACATTGAAGACAATCCTCTGCATACATTCTGGAAAAGTTTCTCCAGTGCTCAGAGTGCAACTGTAAGAATGTTTTGCAATTAAGGAAAGGTACAGAATAAAGCTTAACCTGGGTGTTCTGTCAGGCAAGCACATGGCCACTACACTAATATTAACAGGACCAGTGCTATGCTGGTATATATCGACCAAGTGATAAAGTAAAAAGTGTTTTTACATCAAAAATACTCTTCTCTGAGCTGAAGAGCTTTGAGAGGGGTATTTATTTAAAAACTCTGATTCTTCAGTCTGAAGGTGGCTATTCAGCAGGCTCTTAATGGAAATGTTCGGATAAATACTTCTGATGTACTAAAACAACCTGTCTGTGGTGCTTTGCTGTACTGTTGTTGGTCTTTGTTTTTTAAACAAACTGCAACTTCCCCATGCTGGTGACAAGGGAATTGAGTATCTAGTTAAAATTAAAGGCTGTGGTGTCTGTCTGTGTTACTATTTTGAAGCCAGAACATTCATTTGGAAGCTACAGTTGTCAGCATCTAGTGATTTCACCTGGAAGTATTAAAAGTTGGACTGTGGAGATCTGTGAAGTCAAAAGAACGAAGCAGTTTACTTTATGACTAAGTGGAACTACTCACATGTGGTGCTTCCCCACTGTCCTACCTTATAGCACAGAAACCAAGAAGTGGTAGCTTCTGTATGTTACAGTTAACGCAAAAACTATTCTAGCACACACATCTAAATAGCTAAGTGTACTTTAAGATTTAAATAAAAAGCCTAGTCATTTTTTTCCTGTGGCCTTTAGTAGCAGCTATTATTTTGTTGTGTGCAGAATAAATAGAAAAATCTACCTTTCTCGGGTGAAAATCTGTTCAATAGAGCTAAGCATTCTAATTCCATTTAAAGAATATAACCTGTGTTTTTCATTTTTGGTGGCTCATTGTTGAGCTCTGTCTGCATTTTTATGTATAATGTTTCAATCTCTTGCAGATCCCAGCAAGCTTTTATGCAAAGTGGTTTGTCTCAGCCGTCACCGGTAGTTCTGTCTGGTACAGCCTTACACAACTTCCCAGCAGTACAACATCAGGAGCTTGCTAAGGCACAGTCAAGCCTGGCATTTCAACAGACTTCTAATACACAACCTATTCCTATCTTATACGAACACCAACTTAGTCAAGCTTCAGGACTGGGAGGCTCTCAGCTTATTGATACGCACATTCTCCAGGTAGGAAATGCTCCAAAATGCAAAACTTCAGCAATGGTTTGATACAGATAATGCAATAATAAATCAGATACTGCTTGGCTTGGGATAAGCCCACCTCTGTTATAATTAGATGATAATCAAGGTGGCAGGAAACTTAAGACGCTTGGAAGAGAATGTTCTTTTAATTCCATAAAGGTACATTAGCGTAATCTCTGAATTGAGGATTGTTGCCCAAACTACAGGGCTCCTTGCACTGCTATCACTAATTGGAGCTTCAGGTTTAATTTCTGTTATGGTAGGTAATAAAGGGCTTTTCTACCACTTGCAAATGAGAGCTTTATCACAGGCTGAAACCTTCAGGTTGTCAGCTTCCTATGCTGTGGTTTCTACTGTACTGGTTGAAATACAGAATGATGTGCCATGCTGTCTCAGAACTGCTCTCCTAAGTATTCTTAATGTAATGGTGTCTCTCACTCTTCCTAGGCCAGAGCTACACTCACTCAGGCTTCAAATCTGTACTCTGGGCAAGTTCAACAGCCTGGCCAGAGCAACTTCTACAACACTGCACAGTCTCCCAGTGCTCTCCAGCAGGTAAACTATGGCATGGTAAATTTCCTAAATTGTATTCTTCTGAAAAGCATGTTGTTGTTGATGGTTTTTGTGGGGTGGGGGCTGAGACAATCTTTAATTCTTCCAAAATGCAAGAATTGAAAATTGATAGCCAAGGAAGCTACTGCAGTAGTACTGAAAAACTGAATTGCTGAGAAGTTGGGTGGTCTACAAGTTCATGTTGATCATTTGTCTGGCATCCTTCTCTTAAATAGTTGATTTTCCAGTGACAGGCAAAGATTTAGCTGGCACAGTGATGTTGCTAATTGATGGAGGCATATGCTGCCTTTAATGGGGGCAGGTATCAGTTAGTGATTGTGGAGAGAGACAAACTCCAAGTGCTTAGTGCAGCCTAATTGTTAACACCAATTCTCACTGAGATGAAACCTCAGAGCTGCTACATATGTCAACAATATCAAAATATGTAGAAAACAAATGAGAAGTTGGCAGATAGATGATCATACAGGCAAACAGGACAGCCAAATCAGTAACCAGTAGCCTACATCAGGAGGTTTGTAAAATAACTCCAGTGATTTTAAGTTTTTTGAATTCTTTTGTGAAAGAACTGTTCATTTGCTGTGTGCAAGCATTCTGTCGTTTACAAGATGCTGTCTAGTGGTTTCCACCTTCTGGTTTAATCTTTAAGTGGGTTTTTTAGGAAAAAAGCTTATGATGGACTGGTTTATTATAATAGCCTACTTCATATGCGTGAAAGGTAGCCCAGACAGAAATCTAGAAGAGTCTTAAAAAATTGGATCTCATCTGTTGGAAATCTAGCATAAAGTTTTAAGGACCTTTTAGAAGGGTTAGTGCTTTTAATGTGTTCAAGCTTGCTGTCTCTATACTTTTAATCTGTTATCCTTCAGACCAGAACCCTAGTAAGTCTTTCACATCTGGAGAATATCATATCATTCTTCTAGTCACACTCTGAATATAATTTTGCAGGTTGTGAATTGATGGTCAGACTAGGAAATGCTGTAACCCCTGCCAGTCAGGTTACTGCTGTGGTATTTTCACGTTTATCACTACCATTCTGTGGTGTTTTCAGCCCACAGCACTCCCTGTTAGTGCAAGCATGGGTGTGTGGTGGGGTGTGGGGGGGGGGGGGGGGGGGGGGGGGTTGAGGTTGGACTGCTGGCTGTTGGGACTCCTGGAAAGTAAAATCTAGTTTTCATCCCAAACATTATCCTTATGATGACTAAAATTATTTGAAGTAAATAAATAGCTCCATCCATCCTCCCCGCCCCCCCAACTGGCTATTTCATTCTACTTTTACTTTCTGAGTTGAATTAAATTTACAATTTACTTCTTCATACAATGAAATCATGTTGAATGATGTTGGAATTAGGAGCAAGCATGCAACTTTGTTTCTGAAAAGCAAAGACCCAAATGCTGTTAGAACTTATTAAGACAGGCTAAACAATAAATTCACTTATTTGCTTGCAGCTCTCTGGGTAAATGTGTGAACTCATTGAGTCATTTACCTTTGAATATAGCTGAAATCATAGAGATAGTAAAGAAAGTTAAATAATGGCCCTTGTGTATATGTTACTGGTGATTTTGTACTTTTTTCCAGGTGACGGTACCTTTGCCGGGATCACAGATTTCTTTGCCCAACTTTGGATCCACAGCACAGCCACTTATTGCCCTACCCCAATCTTTACAACCACCACTACAGCACACGCCACCACAAGCGCAGGCTCAAAATCTAAGCAGACCTGCACAAGTAACCCAGCCTTTCAGAGGATTAATCCCAGCAGGAACTCAACACAGCATGATTGCTGCAACTGGAAAGGTAACAATATTGGTAGTCTACAGTACAAAAATTAATACAAAGCACAGCTGTATGCTGTTTTATAGAACCAGCACGGCACCCTGTGTTGACTCTTGCATCTAAAAATCTGCCTTGACTTTAAAAGGTAAGGAGGGGAAGATAGAAAAGCCAGTCAAGGTTAGTTCCTTAGTGACTGGGTCTGTGCATTTTGTAAAGGTTTAGCTGAGTTTTTGTAGCTAACTTGATACTAGTCCATTTGCACTGTAGGAATACCTAGTTTGATAATGACTTCGTGGACTAGTTGGATATTTCATGTAGAAGCCATGTAGAAAATAGTACAGAGCCATTGTTAGAGCAGCAGGCAAACAACGTTACACTGTCAGGGCTGGTTTCCGATGCTGGTTTCCGATTCTGGTCATAAATGTGTTTGTCGCTTTGTTTCTGGTCTCATACCAGAGCACGTTGTATGGGATCAAGTCTTTCCGGTGCAACAAACCGGAGTTTTAGGGGCTTCAATGAACTCTGTATCAGCTGTGACCTTAAACCAGAGATTAAACTCTACTAATGTTGCTGGAGGTCTACTTTTCTGAATAGCACAGCAAAGTGCATATTGAGAACGTAGCATTGTATGCAAGGCAGGACCTCTGATGTGTTTAAAAAAAAAAGGCTGGTCTTGCAGCTGAAGAAAACTCTCCTTGCAGCTCCAGTAAGGAGATAACACTGAAATAGTGCAAGAAAGTTGAATACCTAGGAGGGAATTCTCCTCTCCTTTATCTGGAGCTGCTGTGATAATTGCTAATAAGGGGATGTGTGGAACTGGCTTCCAATCACAAGGTCTCTTGTCTTAGATGGAATCACAGATTTACAGGCACCTGGGATTTTCGGATAGTGTGCAGCACAACGCAGTTGCAGCATACTTTCAGGTGAGCAGTGGGTGATAACACTGGATGTGAACACAGCTAAGCTTTCTGTGAGATACAGCAAGGTCTTTCTGCAGCGCAGGGAGTAATCTAGCTCTGGAGCTGCACCTGAAATCCTTACAGCGTGGCCTAGATTTTTAGGGTGCTTTTGAGTATAAAATGACCCTGCTGTCCCAGTGAATTACAGCTGTGATAAAAATCTCTCTCAGGCGTTAATTTCATGTTGTGGACAGTAATGGCAACCAGAATTCCAGATCACCTAGATGAAGTTTTCATCCTGTCACCCACCAGAGTATATGGTGACTTTTGCACCATGCAGTTTTCTAGCTTCATAGGATCTGGCCAAACCTTTTCACCTTTATAATTTTTATGAGCCCATCTTCCAAGCAGCAGCAGCGTGTTTCTTGCTATAGTTGTCATTGGAAAATGATCACTCATTTCAACAAGAAATGAGGAAGAACTGCAGTGGGATGGTGGCCTTAGGTGACTTTCCTGCCCTGTGTTAAGGGTTCCATTGTGTTCCTGCAAAGAAAGTCAACTTAAAGCAGCCGCTCACTTTTAACTGATTTGTTGTTGCCATTATGCTTCGTTGCAGTTATGCTTCATGGCCATGTGTGGAAAGATACTGTTCCAGAGACTAGTTTATTCTATCTGCAAAATAACATGCAAGATTCATTGCTCCAATTAGAGTCTGGAGATTTTTTTGCATGAATGAGAGCTCCATTTTTGCTGTGCTTTTGGTTTGTTGTAGAACTGGATTATTTTACGGCATTCTTCACTTCAGCATTTTTCAGGATTATATCTAAATATTTTCATGTAGTACCTGAGATGGGGAAGGAAATTTCAACCCTGAAACATTTTTTCAGGGCCAAATATGTGAAATGAGTCACAAATCCCCTTTCATTATGCAGGAAGATCAAGTTAGAAAGTCAGTACCGTTGCTGAAAGTGCCAAATAGTGCAGGAAAATTGTACACAGAGGAGCTTGTGGTGCTGGGGTTGTCCTAATTATAAGAAGCCGTTTTGCAATCTGGCTTTTCACCTCCATTTAAGTGACCTATTTTCATTGAGAAAAATGTGAGGTAAGCTAACAATTACTTAGTAAATGTAATTTTTCTTTGAATTGGAATTAACATGTCAATGGCTGTGTTTTTCAGATATCGGAAATGGACCTGAAGGCCTTTGGAGGTGGCATTGATGTTAAACCTGGAACACCGCCAGTTACGGGTAGAAGTACTACTCCAACCTCCAGTCCCTTCCGGTAAATCTCTCTTAAGCTCAAAATTCCTTGAAATCAGAGCTAGAAAATGTACCTAGTCATGCATGAACAGCCAATTCTGAAAGGTATGAGGTGAGAGGCTACTAATATAAAATACAATGCTTAATCTTAGCTTAAAAGCAGAATTCCAGTAGGTCATCAGATCTGCTATAGTTGACCAGAATTACATAGTTCTGAAATAAAATATTAAAAATATTTTTTTGATTAAATGAAACTAAACAAGTCATGTAAAATGGCGTGGGATTGTACCAAGAAAGCACAGAAGTGGCAGGGAAGATGTATTTTGTGATAAAACTCGTAAGACAGTTTATCTTAATTGTGGTGCTCAAAGTAAAAACACTTAAAGGCTTACACTGCAGTTGTGGCAACAATTCTGTTAGAGAACTAAGAATCGTTGCAAGATCTATCAGCTTCTCACGAGTGAAATTAGTAAGTTGTTTGCAGGTTTGTTTGGTTAATTGACAGAATTAACAGAATCTTGCTCATATGCAGATGCACTTCATGGTAAACCTGTTGGGCTGCTTGTGGGTGAAGTTATTAGTGGGCGGAAGGAACTTGAAAATGGAACTTTGCTACAAGATAGTTTTGTTCTTGAAAGCTGTGCTCCCATGCACAGTAACTATGTTTGGTGGCTTTCACTGTAGCAGACTGACAGTGTTCAGGCTTTTCTAGCGAAGTAGAAATGAGAGTTTGAACTCAATGCTGAAGTTGCGCCTCCAATATTTCACCCAAGAAACAAGTGAAGGGATGAGGAAGAAGAAACTTGAATTTGCAAGCTAGTCAGCATTTAGGACAAATGGCTCAATGGTATATATCTTAAAGATTCTATATGAGATGTCTCATCTCCTAGCAACCAGGGCTTATCATAAGCTTTTGCTCTCAAGTGTAGAGGTACTGGGAAGACCAACAAAAGCATAATAGATCTCAAGAGTTCAAAGTGAAAACTAAACAGACTTCTTTAAGCTTACAAAATGTTGGTGTGTATTAAGTTTTGCTGGCTGCCTTGCCACTGGTGCCCCACTGCTCACTTTACGTTAGGTAAGTGTATCACCCAGACACTCTGCAGGAGAACTCTGCAAATCAAGCTCCATTTCCTAAAGAAGGCTGTTCACTCTTTTCTTTCTCTGAGGGCTGTTTGGTGCCCTTCCCCCAGATAATCTTTCAGGCTTCATTTAATTCATGGTGATTCAACACCTCTTAAGTTTTAATGGAGGGTCACGTTCTTAGCCAAATAAAACAGGGAGAGAGCGTTTTCTGTGAATTCTTGAAATCTGTTCAAGTGCATTTTGAAACATTTGACAACAGGTCAGAGTGGAAGCAGCTGCACATGGCAGCTTCTGCTGTGCCTGTTTAGTGCCTGTTGTGACAAGCTCTGAACTTGACGTGATAGAGCAAACAGTGTAAAGGGATAGGATTGAACATAAGATAGCAGGGATCAGAAGGGGAACACGCTTTTAACATCAGTATTTGTATTACGAATACTTTTGGGAAAGGTCTCTTTCACACAGACTTTACCCTGGAATCTTTCCATATCCTAAATATTTCTGATTACGGTTTCTCTTTGTATTCTGAAGTTCCGAGTTTGTTTGCATTTGAAACTAATGGTAGATACAGAAGAATATCTGATACCAGCCTCTCAAAGAGATTTCTGCCCCCCCCTTCCAATGCTGAATTTCTAGTTAAGTTGTAAATAAAGGCAGAAACGTCCTCTGAATGAGAGCAGTGTGATTCTAACTGGTGTTCTTTTCTTCAGGGCCAGTTCCACAAGTCCTAACAATCAGTCCAATAAAATGAACAGCATTGTCTACCAGAAGCAGTTTCAGTCAGCAGCTGCCGCTGTGAGAATGACACAGCCGTTTCCTGCACAATTTGCACCACAGGTAGGTGACTGGTGGCTTCCTACAAACAAATCTGTTTCTCTGTGTGACCTGGTAACTCTGTAACTCGGCTGTGTTTCCTCAGGCTTTATCATGGGGAGATACAAAATGGAATCCTTAAAATGAAATGGCGTGAGAACTGATTTTAAGATCAAAGCCAAAAAAAAAAAAACCCTCCCTGATCTTGCTAACTAGTAGTGCGGATTTTGTGGTGTGTTTAATTTTGGGAGTTCTGCGCACACTGAGGAATTTAATACAAGTTGTGAATGATGTAGAACAGACGGTTGTTCTGCTGGCTTCCCCATGCAGCTGTAATGCACCTCATCCCGCAAAAACAGATCATTTAGTTGGGGAAGGGAAGAATGAAGCTTCGTGTCTCAGAAGGGTCCCAGTGCATATTTTAAATGTTTAAAGAGAAAGCAGATTTGCAGTTGTTTGTCTGAGATGCAGCTCTGGAGTACTGATAGAGCAGTTCAGGCTGGAAAGGATCTCTGGAGGTCGTACAGTCCGTACAAAGCAGGACTGATGGCAAAGGGTTTGACTTGCTTCTGGCATTCCAGGGAGCACAGCTTTACAAGGGTGGTGCGTCCCTGTTACAGGTGACTGTAGCCAGGCTGCTAGGGAAATGTAGCCTCTGTAAAAATGTAGGCTATTTCTGTCTTTCTTTTAGCATTTGACTGCAGGACTGGAGGGCTGCCTTTCACTAGTGATGACTCCACTGCCTTGCATGGGCCTTCTCCCTTATTACATGCTGGTTTTTAAGTTGTTGGTACTACTTTCAGGCGCAGCAGCACTACAGGGCTGTTTTTTTCTGGAGTTCAAGCATGGCCTCTCTTAACATAAAAGCCTATTTTCTTGACACCGGTTTGACAGCAGAGCAGCAACTTTTTCCCCTTTTAAGATAATGCCAACGTGCAATCTAGTTGGCAATTTTCTAATTGCGAAATGTCTTTTTGTTGTTTTTCCCCGACTTAGATCCTCTCTCAGCCTAACCTGCTCTCTCCATTGGTAAGAGCCCCATATACTAACACCTTCCCAGCGCCTGTTCAGAGGCTGCCAATAGTTCTGCATAGTCAGATGCCGTCTCAGATGACCACAGGCCTTATGAGCCACCCCCATTTACCGCGTGTGGCCAGAGGTCTTTGTGGATCAGTATCTGGAGCCAGAGGCAATCAGGCCCAGGCTGCGAGGAAGGCTGAACGAGACATGAAGGTTAGTATTTGAACAGCAGTGCTGTTAATACCAGTTCAGTCTTGACAGCTTGTAGGGCAGGAATGTGTCTGGAAATCATGTCTTAATTAAAATGCCTCTGGACCCAAAGCCGGTAGCCGGGCCTTTAACAGCTGTACACAGACCTTCTCTAAGCCCTGTGGTTTTTTAATAAGAACTTTAGACTAAAAAATTTGTAGGGAGCTTCCTTTCTCAAGTGGTCTTATGGTCAGCAGTTGTGAAGCTGCCACTGCTGTCAAAGGCAATCTGACAACTAGGTTTCAAGAGCCTGGATTTTTGAATGAGTGATGAAGCCTACAAACCTGGCTGCTAGCTATCATTTCGCATCTGCCTCCCCAGCTCTGAGCAGCAGTATGAACCCTTCTGTTCCAGCCAGCCTCACTCCTTGGTGACTCTGGATATTCATTTCCCGGTGGTTTGAAATGCCTGTTATTAATTCTCTGTGGTAGAATGCAGTAATGTGGTACACTCCACAGAAGAGCTGGCTGCATTTCTGTAGCAGGTGATAAGTCATCTAACTTGTTAAAGCACTTTGGGACCCTTCAGGTTGAGTCAAACTCTTCTTACCAAGGCAGGACTGCAATATGGGGCGTCTGTGTAGGGATACTGTTTTCTGCAGAGTAAGTTGCTTGTATGAATAGATGGTACTAAGGAGCTCCTTCATCTACTGTCATTTGCCGTAACCCATGCATTGAGGTGTAAAAGCAAAAGAGCGTGTGTTTTCCTGGTTATGTCTGGTTGTAGAAGAATTGATTACCCCTTAAATTCTAGGTATTTGGTCCATTTAGTTTTCTACCACCAGTTTATGCTAGCTGTAGACTTACCAGGTGATGCTTAGTATATTGTCTTGAGTCTATGTTATGAATCGAATCTAGCCAGTCATAGCAAATACTAATACGCAGTCCCGGTTTTCTGAATCTCCCTGCAAACACTGTTCAGAAGAACATGAGTTATTCTGTCGCGCTTGGTTACTTGGTGATCAAGTCATCCAGCCTTATAGCCTTAACCTCGGGGGATGGCTGAAATCTATGCAAAAGATTTCGAGTGTCCATCTGGCTTCAGTAAAATCAGACTGTTACTGCAGTCCTGCACACCAGAGTTTGCAGGTTTTTTTTCTGTTCTGTTGCTGGTTGAGTTACTTGGAGCAACTGCACAGTATTAAAGCCAAGACCTCTTGTTCCAGGCTTTTGCTGTTTTGTGTCTCCCCCCGCCCCTGTTTTCTGTAAAAAAAAAAAAAAAAAAAAAAAAAAAAAGTATGAAATACTTAGAGAGGTACATGGAGGCTTAGTGTCTGTATTGTAGTTGGGGTTCCTTGTATTAAGATCTGCCTTTTTAATTTTAAAAAAGGCATTTGACTGCTTTGGGCTTAATCGTGCCGCTTCCAAAAGATTGAACTCTCAATGCAACTCCTCCTTTGCCTGAGTCTGGGCAGGAAGGCGTAGTACTTGGTCTGAAGCATCTGGTCTGCACAGTGCTTCACTGACAAATGAAAGGTCCAGTGTAAAACTAACTGAAACATGTAGTCACAACGGCTGAATTTCACAGGTGCAAGTCGAGGTTACTGGTAGGATTCAGAGGAGGGATTTGAAGGAAGCCAGGCAGTAGTTTGTGCTTCCTGGAATGAGCGCCCGCTTTGAGTGGGAAGCAGATAAGGCTTCAGCTTACGCGTAACGCAGCCTTGAACGCGGTTCACTTGCATCCCTGTTGCAGCCTCTGAAGTCTGTGTCCAGAACAACAGGGGGAAAAGATGTGGGTGCTCAGGCTAGATTCTGCTGCTGTCATACAGCCTCTGCGCTCAAGAACTCCAGACCACGCGGCAGGAGAAATGACAGCTGGCACGGCCCTCGGTGCCGACAGCGCCTGCGTAGCTGGGGTAGTGTCAGGGCGCGGGCGGCATGCGGACACGTACGCCTTCTGGTCATGTCTGACTTCTACTGAGGCGTGACGCTTCAGTTTGAGCCTACTGTAGGCAGTGTTTATACTTCTTAAGCTCTGCAATAAGAGTGGCATAAAAAGATGTTAGATAATGCTTCAAACTGTTGTCCTTGATCCTCTTTTCTGGGGTGAGGATTAGGAAGAGCAAGGGAAGCCTAGGCATGATGCTAAGCTACTACTGAGAAGCCAAGCACCCAGATGTGGTGACATCTGGGAAGCAGCTGGATGGACACTGCCTTTCTAGGAAAGTCTGGCCGCTGCGGTCAGTCCTTCCTCTTTCATTTAGGAATTATTTTTGTGAAGTCACTTTTATTCCTATGCCCTCCCTTCAGTAAACATATTTTCTCCCTTTCTTAAGGCAAAGCAGAGAGCAGAGGTGCTCCAGTCCACCCAGAGGTTCTTTTCTGAGCAGCAGCAGCAGAGCAAACCCATAGGAGGCAAAGTGCAGAAAGTGGATGAGAACGGGAGCAAACCCGCCGAGGCAATTGCTGACTCTTCAGGAGTCTGCCAGGACAAAACCGAGGAAAAGCCTACCCCTGCGCCTGCTGCGGCAACAAAACCTGTTAGAACTGGACCAATCAAACCTCAGGCAATCAAAACCGAAGAAACAAAATCTTAGAGACTGTGTTTCCATGGAGGTGGGGGAAGAGGGGAGGGGGGCGCGATGACAGCAGCATGAATTTGTAGCTCGAAGGACAAGACAACAGTCTTCTCTCCCTGCGGGGCTCTGAACAGCGTAAAGGGACGTAGAAGCTATCGGCAGTTACGGATGCAAACTGCTGCGTATCCAACTGAGCTTCTAGGCTCTTTGGGCTTGTATCTTCTCTAACAGCATGAAGGCTGCTTTTGGTGTGGGCACGTTCTACACGTGTGCGCGTGTTTTTGGCTTACACACCTGTATGCTTCCCAAAGTGGAAAAAATTGAAAAATAGCAACGGCGGGGAAGAAGGTGGTCGGGGAGGCATGTTCCTAACTGACGAGACGAATACTCTTATTTTCTTCAGGCTCTGATCTTCAGCTGCTATTTATCTTTTTATAAACCCATGAGTATGAGAACATGCAGATCTGAAGATGGTGCTGGGCCAAGTAATGTGTGTTAAGTTTTTAGTGACTTAAGAAGCTTCTATCTTGTAGTAAACAGAGGGATTCATATAGCTGGCAAAATTGCCTTTGCCATGGGACATCTAACCTAACGTAGCACAAAGAGTAACGCTGATGATGTTGACTTGCCCTCTGAAGGCAGTGCTTTGCTGGCTGCTGCTTCTTGGATGACAATATACTGTCTTTAGGTCACCACCTGAAAATGCTACTTGGCCACCTGTGCTCTCTACACCCACTCCCCCCTCAGTCGTTCACCTCTGGAGTTGAAGGGTTCATTGCATCAATAGTCAAATTTGTTCTGTTCACCTCTGTCCAGCTATCTTTATATGATGCGAGTGATCTTTAAACGGTTTCCGGCTTCTGTCTGTATACAGCAACGAGCACTTAGAACTGTGCCACGAGAATAAAAGAGACCTTATCGGATTAAAGAGAGTTTTATCCAAAAGGTGCATTCTTTATATCAGAGCTGCGTCGCACCACCTCCTTGCCCACAGCGTGCTGGAAAGTAGAATCAAGTCAAATAAATGCCTTTTAAATTGTATCCTCTAGTATTATAGCTGTAGGACAGTACTGTATGATACTTCTGTGAATGTAAGATATCCTGTACCTGCTTATGATATGTAGTAGTGACTGTGCTATACTGGAGCTGTTTTTAATAATGTTATTCTAGAGGTTTTTTTCCAGACAATGATTGAAAAAGCTAATAAAAAGCACCAGGTACCACATCAGTAGCAGAATTTGCTGGTTTTTTTCTGGGATTTTTTTTTTTACATTTTTTGGAAGGAAGAGTGAGTTGAAAGTCTAATGTGTATAATTTTGTTCAAATGACTGCAGAAGCTGGAAAGGCTGTTGCTGCTATTGATGCCTAGTGAATCGCTATTGGTTATCTTTTTATATAAATATATATATAATTTGAATTTTTGGAAACTTTAGCTGTGATGTCAACTTCGGAAAAAAGTATCCCACTTGTAGTGTGAGTTGGCATTGTACAGAAATTAACAGCCATATTGGTCTAGAAATGTTAAACTTAATTTTTTCCATTTGTACAGGGGTAACGCACTGTATTAAATATGTACGGTCTTATTTACATGGGTTTGATTACAGAAACTAATAAAGTATTCTCTAAATAAAGCATCCGGGTAATCTCATGATTAGCAGTGCTGCAGGATGCAAGGAGAGCACCTGAACGTCGTGTGCCAAGTGAAGAGTGTGTATTACAGCCAGACTTCTAAAGAGAAACGGCTTGAAACAGCTTATTTCTGTTTCCCCCGGCACTTTTGATCTCGTTCTCCAGCGAAGGCCTCGCAGGACATGGCTTCCGTCTAGCTCTGGAAGGAGCCTGCCGGTTGCGTTTGCGAGACGTCGCATCTCCGGCGTGTTGGTGAGCTGCGCGGTGCTGGAGCCTCGCGTTTTCTTTCCTAGAGAAGAGCCGCTCGTCAGAGGAGACCTGGACGAGCCCCGCCGGTTACTCTCATTTTGGCCAGTGGGTGACTACCGGTGCCGGCTGCGCGGGCACCCTCGCAGCAAGGGGCTGTTAGAAGCACAAGGTTTCCCTGCAGGGGGGGAGCAGGAGTGAGCCTCCACCTGAGCCTTCCCAAGGAAAGGGGAGGCCTCCTTCTTGTCTCCCTTCCCGACTCGCCGCAAGCAACACGCGCTCGCTACCACACGATCAAATCACACAGTTACTGACTGGTGCCCTTGAGCAGAATGACGGGTCAAGCACCCTGGCAGTCCTTTAGCTGCAGGGGGGAAGGCGCCCCTGCCTCCCCGGGGCCCCTGCCCTGCCGGGTTACGAAGAGGCAGGATCAGTTTGGGGCTGGTGCTGTCAGCTGGCCACCAGAGGGAACTCTGGGCTCGTTACAAACATCAGAAACCACCTCCTGTTTGGTCTCCGAGAAGCCATTCCTGCCTCGGGCTTGCGTTGCGCCTCCAAGGGATGCGAAGAAAGGAAAGCCAGCCGCGGGCGTCGGGGTGGCTCTGCAAGCACCCCTGGGAGTCGTGCGGGTTTGCCTTTGGTCGGGGGTGCTGCTGCCAGCCCCGTGGTGGGTCGGAGCAGGCAGACCCGCTTGTGCTTGGTTGGGTGGGAAGCGGTGGTTTGGGGGCACCAGAGGAGCTGGAGTTGGTTCTTTTAGGGGGCTGCTGGTAAAACCGCAGCAGTATGGAGTAAATAAAGGTGCTGTAATCCACGACTGGAGTGATGGGCAGAAGTAACCTCTGAGTAGGTAACACCGCAGGTAAATCGCCTTTTCCACAGGAACCGTACGAGCACAGCTCCAGCAAACGCGCGGGGAAGGGGGGATGGAGGAAGGGGAACTGCGGGAAGGCAGACAGTGGTTTGAACTGTTAAATGTGCTATAAACGAGATGGTTTCGATGGTAACTGAGTTACGCTGCTGTCTCCCTGCTTGGAGGCCATCTTCTGGTTCATCTTGGAATGGGAAATCATTCACTGGACTATTTGTTTTTAAGGAAATGCTGCTGAAAGGATTAATCTTAAATTCTCCAACAGACCCACTAGAAAAGTCAGACGCATTTCCCACAGTCAGCAGTGGGAAGATACCAAGCTTTTGGCTATTTCTTGCACTGAGCGGAACGAGGATAATATTTCTGCAGAAGCTTGATTAAAAGCAAATGCTTGAGCGTTTAGTGCATTCGAATAACCTGATTTTGATGCGTGCCTCCCCAAAACAGCCCCCAACCACCCCAGCTGCCTCTGAGGCCAGTTTGAGCTTTCAGTCACCGACCGTGGATCATTGAATATTTTCATGACGTTCAACCAGATAACTTGCTCCTGGCTATTTATGCTGGAATAGATCTTGCTTCTTTAATTTGAGTGGGATTTGGTGTGTAATCTCTTTTCTAGGACAATAATTGTGCTGAACCTCCCATAAATTAGGGAACTGTTTTGTTCAGAGAATTCACTTTTGTTTTTTTCCCCTTAACAATTTTCAGTCTGCGAAAAGACGGTAACTTTTCCCAAGGGCAAGAGCAGAAGAGGGTTACTGTGACTGGGGCCAGATCCAGCAACCCCCCCTCAGCTCAGGCTGGCTTCTTGCTGGGATGAGGGAGGGGAGGGACCCTCCGGGCTTGTTTTGTAAAGCCTGTTAAGTAAGGCTGTGTATTCAGTGCTGTTCAGCTCCAGCCCAGCTTTCTGGAAATCCTGTGTACATTGGCTTGTCTCTGCTTATTTTTTTTTTAGTCAATTAACTGATGGATTTCCCAGCCTGAAAAGACCCTGGTGCTGGCAGAGAGCGGGAAGGCGGGAATGGCTGGGGCGGGGGTCGTCTGCCCTTGGTGTCTCTACTCACTGAGAAGCCTTTGGCGCTGCTGCTCCCCGGGGACCTCTGAACAAGCCCTCCCTTTCACGTTGGGGCTCAACCTGTGCCTCTGAGGAGGTGCGGGGCCAAGGAGGGCTCCAGCCTCGCTTCGCCTCCCCTCCCGTTTTGGGACAGAAATGCTGTTTTCCCATCCTCGGTGGCAGGTTTTCTGCGCGTGGGGCAGGTGGCTGCTTGCCAGGCTGCCCCTGGCTG